TAGTTCGGCGGGGTATCCTGGTTTCTCTGGGGAGGGGTTCAAGATGGGGAAGGGGAAGGGGAAGGGGGGCAAGAGGAGGGTGGTTGCGCGTGGGCTTGGGAATGCTGGGGAGCAGGGGTTGTTGGCGAGGGGGAGGGCTGCTCCTGCTGCTGCTGCTGCTGCTGCTGCTGCTGCTGGGGGTGCTACGGCAGGCCCGCATCTCGATGTTTGGGTCGGGTGGGAGGGGAGTAGGGTTAGTGGGCGGTTGAGGTTGGAGAATGTTCGTTCTTCCTTTTTCTTGCTCTTCTTTTGTTCTTGCTTGGGTGTCTTCTTGCGTGGAGGTGTATGCAAGCTCACGCTGACAGGCGACCGCCCCCCGAACGCCCTGCACGACATCCCAACGGTTCGATCCCTCGCTGAGACTCGGGTCGCTCGGCTGGGTGAACATCGTGCCGCATGCGAAGGCCACCGTGGATCTGATCGTGGATGGAGAGGAGGTCAAGTTCGAGGGATATGGGTATCATGACAAGGTATGCTCACTCTCCCGTCGCCGGGGGTTATTGTACATGTACTGTACCCTACTAAACCAGGCAGAACTGGTCCGAACGCCCCTTCCACTCGCTCGTCAAGAAGTGGTTCTGGGGCCACGCGCACGTCGGCCCCTACTCGCTGGTCTGGTTCCAGGAGACGCCGCTCAACGCGACGATTCCCGTGGCCAGCGCGTCCGTCCTCCAAGACGGGGTGACGGTGTTGAGTGGTTGTGAGGCCGGGATTGTCAGTGTGCAGCGGGTCAGCCATGCCGCGGCGTCCGGGTTCGCGGTCGAGGTGGTGATGAGGGGCGTGAGGGTAACGATGCTGGGGACGCGAGAGGTGGCGGGCGATGGGCAGCATTTCTTCCGGTGGACGGGGACGGTCGATGGAGAGGTGCTGGGCCAGAAAGTGAATGGGGGAGTGGCGGTCTTTGAGGAGTTCGATCTGTGAGTTGGAGGCGGATATGTCCGCCAGGGAGAATGAGTTAGGGCTATGTTGGTAGTTGACTTGAGCCTAAGAAAAGTAGGCACTTCAGAAAGCTAAGCTAGCCACGCTCGGCAACCGTTGCTGCTGCTATTGCGTACATGACGTCTGCTTACATTTGTTCATTGAGAATCCTCCCAATCAGTCTACCATCCATTCTTCCACCAAGCCCCGATAATCCTCCATCCCATACGGTTCCAGCCATTTCAGCGACTTGCCCTTCCTCCGATAATCCAGTCCCAAGTCTCGCAATAACAAATCCACGTACGGCAAGGCATCGAACACGAAATCCGGATTCCTGCGTCCAAACCCGCCGGGGTACCGATGCACGCCAAACTGACTGTGCAGTGTCGTCTCCCAGACCAAATCCGCATCCACATTCGAGAAAGACGGTATTTGCAGGGCCTTCCTGGCTTGGTCAGGACACCGCTCTTGGCTCTTCACGGTCAGCTTCTCGCCCATCCACACCGCCACCCACAGCGCCTGCGCCTGCGCCACCATCGCCGTGTTGATCGTCATCGTCAGGCCCAGGCACGCGATCGAACGTTCCTTGCCCAGTTCGCCCACGGGCACCATGAACCGGGTCAAACGCAGGGGATGGCCCGCAGCGGCCGGCGCATCGTCCGCGAGGGGCTTATACCCTTGGACCATGGGAGGCGGATGCTGGAGGCGGGGGAATCGTCGTCGGATCTCCTGGTCAGCCAGCCGCACAACCTCCCGGGGCACGCAGTCCTCAGCCTCGGGCAACCCCAGTTCCTGCTCCAGGGAGGCCGGCACAAACTGGATCTCAGGCTTGGCCTTCCACCCGGTCGCACACACCAACGCGCGGACCTTCTCAATAACCCGGCCGGACCCCAGCTGTACGGTCTGGTCCGACAGGTTCGCCACCTCATCCACATGCACCCGTACGCGCCCACTGCGCACCAGCTCGAAGAAATCCGTCGGGTAGTTGAGGATGCTCAGCCCGCTGGCGATCCAGAAGGGGCTGATCCAGGGGACCAGCTTGCGAGTCTCCGGGTGCGCGGCGTAGTTGTTCAGCGTGAGGACGTCGTTGCCCAGCACCCACCAGAAGGCGTCCACGGCCTTCCGGCCGAGCCAGGTGCCGTGCAGCAGCCAGCGCACGGTGGAGCAGCCGTCGCCCGCGGCGCCCCAGATGCACGGGCTGAACCAGGTCAGCAGCCGCGTGGTCACCAGCTTCTCCAGCCATTTCTTCAGCGGCGTCACGTACGGCGGCGCCATCCAGATCGGGCCGTGGCCTGTCGACCGGATGATCCAGTCCACTTGGTACGCGGTGGTCGTCGCGGCGGCGTACACCGCGTCCCAGGCGGATTTGGTGCCGCCGAAGATCACAATGCTCTCGTTTGTGTCTTCGGGCGGGGAGGTGGTTTGCGGGGGAGGAGCGAAGATCTGGTCCTGGTGGTGGCGTAAATCCCTGATGTGGAACAAGGGCGGGGTGAATTGTTCGTGGCCGGGGAGGTGGGGCAGGTAGGGCTGCGAGGTGATCCCCGTCGCGAGGATGAGTTTGCTGGTGTGCAGGGTAGATGCTTCGATGATCGCATTGGGATTTTCAGGGTCGAGATGGTCGACGGTCAGGGTCCAGGTGGTGTCAGGCTCGTGCTGGATGGTCCGCACGCGCCGTCGGAGGTGAATGTACGGCGTCAGCTGGAAGTGCTCTGCGAAATCGGCGAGGTATTTCTGGATCACCGCTCCGGGGAGATGCTCGCCGGGCGCGACACCGTACGAATCGTCCAGCGGAAAGTCGCTGAACTCGTACGTGCCTCGCATATTGTTTGACTTGAGACCCTCGTACAGGCGGTGTTGAGCCCAGACGCCTCCAACGGTGTCGGCGGCCTCGAGGAGGAGGATGGAGGCATTGGGGTGGACTTGGTGGTAGGTTTTGAGGGCAGCCAGGCCGCTCCAGCCTGTTGAGTGTGAATCAGTATGGGTTCGAGCCTAAGATAAAAGCCGATGCATGATGCATGCAACCTTACCTGCGCCGATGATGGTCACATCCACTGACTCCATTATGACAGCAGACACCGGCAATGGGAAGGAGCGCCGGAAAAAAAAGCAACGGGTGGAAGGGGAGGAAGAAGTGGAAGAATAAAAATAGCCCGGGAAGGGGGCGAGGAGGGGAAATGACTGACAGATAACGTGCCGATCAGTGGCAGTTTTTAATCTCCGTCGTTCCCTCCCCTCCCTTCTTCCTCCTTACATTATCGCACGAACAGGGAAAGTGGATGATCGCAATAACGACGGAGGTTGCACCGGTGTTGTTGTGGCGGGGTCCATTCACCCACTAACACCGCTTAGGGTTAACGAACAGTGAATGTCTCCAGTTGGCTCCGGTTGGCTCCACCGTTGGATGGAGATGACAGCTCGGCTCATCCGCTGAAGCAACGGTCTGACAGGCGGCACAATCCATGCCACAAGCCATGCCATGGGCCCACTTCCTGGCCACTGGCCACTGACCACCGGTGTCACAGTGCCCCCTCTCGGGGGGAGGGGGGGAAAGCCCGACTCCCCCCGTTTCAAGCCCAGGGGGGCCACCCGTTCGTTCATCGGACATGGGTCACCAAACGGTCAGTAGTCTAGTTACTCCATAGTTCGCTATGCCTTGCCCATTGTCTACTTCCCTGTTCTATTGTGCAGGAAGCGGTACTACTGTTTGGACTATGGCGTATTGTTGCTAGTCTAGTTACCTCCAGGCTACCTGCAAGGAAAGTGGAACCCACCATGGATTGACTCTGCGGGTTCTGCGTTTGTCGTGCCGAGCCATTGACAAGTCGGCATTTGTGTTTGCGTGGCCCAGGGGAAAAAGTGATACATAGAAGCAAAGAGCAAACAACGAAAAAAATGAATGCACAGATCACGATGCAAATTCCTCTCTGTATCTCTTCCCCTGATAAAACCTGTCTTATACATAATGCCCCCTCTTCCCTTTCCCCGATCCGATCTGCCTTGCTTTGAAATGGTTTCACAGGCAATTTTCTTTTTCCCTTCTTCTTCTCGTCTTCTGCTTCCTTTCCTTTCCCGGCTTCATGGCGGACGATTTCGTCATTGAGGCTTTTACCCTCCTGGCCATTGCCATTCTGACCATTGCCTGCCGCATCGCGGCCCGGTGGATTACGGCGGGGCCCAAGAATTTCGCACTGGATGACTATTTGATGCCGGTTGCAGGGGTACGTCTTACTTCCCAACGAGCTATGCTGCTTACTCTTGACCCTCCACCCACCCCCCCAACTCCTTTACCCTCCTCTCCCAACAATCACACAGTACTCTATCGGTCGTTGTCCTAGCTCTAACCAATTCTGTTTCTGGTAGGTAGTGTATGCCCTCGAAACCGGCGCCGCCTACTGCGTCAGCGCCTGGTGGCATGGGCTCGCCAACAACTCCATGACCGCGGCTGAGCGCGCCGCGCTCTCGCCGCAGTCCGACGAGTACCGGCTCCGCGTCGGGGGATCCAAGACCCAGGTGCTGGGATGGTCGCTGTACACTACTCTGCTGTGGTTGCTCAAGACGTGCATGGCGGTGTTTTATTCGCGACTGACGTACGCCTCCCCTTTGGTTCTGCCATTACTCTGCGTTATCTGTTGTATGGATCGGTGTGTCTGGATTTCCGCTCAATTGACCCCCACAATTCTAGGGCTGGGCTGTACAACATGACCCGTCGCATCCGCCTCGCCTACATCTTCATCGCCTGCACCTACCTCGCGGTCATCCTGAGTATCCTGCTGGGGTGCCATCCGCTCCACAAGAACTGGCAGATCCACCCGGATCCCGGGAACTATTGTCAGCCGGCCGTCTCGCATATCGATGTGTACGTGACGGTGACGCTGAATGTGGCGACGGATGTGTATCTGATCTCGATTCCGTTTCCTGTACGCCCTGCCCACGATCGGGACCGGTGAGAGGTAGAGGTTCACGCTAATTGCGATGGGGATAGATCCTCTTCAAAGCCCGTCTCCCGTGGCGCGAGAAGCTCGAGTTGGTGGTCTTGTTCAGCGGCGGATTATTTGTCATGGCGGCGGGGATCCTGCGGTGTGTGTTGATCGTCACGGTGCGTAACCCCTTACTTGACTCTGCCATCGAGTGACGAATAATAGCGAATGCCTGCTTAACGAGAACAAATAGGCCGGCGCAAATGGCGCCTCGCAAGCCGGTAGCTGGGCTTGCCGCGAGACCTTCGTCGCCGTCATCATCGGCAACCTCCCCATGATCTACCCCGTATGTCGCCGGATGGTCAAACGGGCGGGCACATACTGGTCGTCCCACAGCCTCCACGCCAAGGGTGGGAGTACGACCACGGGCCCGGGGGGCTCGTCGGGGTATCCCCTCTCGGAGGGGGAGCATCAGAGTGCGCATTCGCAGTCTCGGAAGAAGAAGTTCCGGCATCCCTTGTCGCTGCCGGATACGCAGTGGACGCAGTTGGGGACGGTCAGTGATGAGCAGATCATGCTCGCCGCGGTGGATGAGGAGGGGCGGCGGGTAGAAGGGGAAGGGGGCATACATGTGGTTCAGGAGTTGATTATTACGAGGCATTGAGCTGGTTATCTTGGGGGTGGGGGCTGGAGTTGTAGGTGCGATGACTACACCGTGTTATGTTGTTACGAGATTGTATATATCTTTGTTTATGGGTTTATAGATTGGTTTTGCCTTCTGTCTATGAGTTGTAGTCAATTCCTCTCTATACTAGGGATCTCTCCCAGCATTCAAATGGGACCCTGCATCGTCGCCAGCCGTCGTTGCAATCTGGTCCTTGTGCTCATTCGCTCTGCTCGATGGGCCATCCTGACGAAAACAGAACGATGATGCATCACCAACCAAGTACTCTGTCTTCAAGCCTACCTGTGCCATGCGCTTCGCTACATTGTACGAGAGAATCAGAATGCTAGTCTCTAGGTCGTGGCAATCATGCAGTATGACCATAGCCCAGGATGGTGATATACAGCACAATAAGAACTAAGCTAACACCTTACAGCCAGTTACGCCTCATACACCCCCAAGAACATAGTACTTTATCGATGCAGTCATGTTACCAGACCAGCCCGAGAAGACCCCGATGACGATAGCCTCAGATCGCCCATAGTGTAAGATTGACATCCCTCATCCCGCCGCTCAGCTTAGACCCTTACCCCCCCCCCCCCCTGCCTAAACAATCCATCCCATCAAGCCCAAGGCAGGAATCAAAGCTGAGAGGACCCAAATAGGAACCACCGCGTCCCATGGGATTTCAAACGTGGCCATGATCGGGGATTCTTGGATAAGAACCCCCCACCCCAACTCTCTTGTTCATTGTTAGGATGTATGTACTGCGTAATCTCTATAGTTGAAGAAGCTGTGGGGTCCCGGATAGGTCGATGAATGATTTTTACATGGTGATTGAGGGAAAGATGGAGTGAGGAGAGGCGTTATTGATTCCGAATGTCATGCGTGAGCCTTGCGTCTCACGTGATGCTTGCTGCGAGGAAGCTCAATATCCGCGCTATAGCGTAGGTGTTATCTTATTCTGGGTATAAAGCTTACTTGATCTTAGCTGTAGACGGGAGGAAAAGCAGTAGCCAAAACCAGACGGTGCAGCAGCCGCGGCAGCAGCAGCAGCAGCAGCAGCATCCTCATTAATGATAAGTTATAACTTATAGTGCCCCCCTGCTCCCAAGCCAAGCAGAATGGAATGATCGATCGACTCTCCCTGCAAACACATCCAGACAATCCCAACCATCCAGAACCAACCGCCCATGACGCCTCCACTGCTTCTCACCCAATCACCTCTGGGCGGGGATCACGCCTCGGTCTCCTTGGTGATCTGCGTGGCCTCGCCGCCGGACACCAGCACCTCGTCGCGCTTCAGCGAGGCCTTGACGGGGTTCTTGGCCTGGAAGATCTCGGTCAACTCCTCGAGGGTGCGCTTGCTGGTCTCGACGAACAGGAAGTAGATGACGATGACCTCGAGGGTGTCCCAGAAGATGAAGAGGAAGTAGTACTTCCAGCCGGCGCGGGTGAAGGCGATGCCGGTGACGAAGGTGTTGTAGAAGGAGGCGATGTTGACGAAGAACTGCCTCACTCATTAGTCTCTCTCTCTCTTGCAGGCGGGAAGGGACTGCCAGCTACGGGAGACTTACGTTGTTCATGCCCATGCCCTTGGCGCGGGACTCGTACCGCAGGCACTCGACCGGGTACATGGCCTGGTTGGGCGTCCAGCCGGCGGAGATGACGAAGCCGAAGATGAAGATCATGGCGATCTGCGCGCGCGCGGTGATGCCGCTCTTGGCCGTCGGGACGCCGTCCGGCCCGTCGACCACGTTGGTCGCGTTCAGCGCCGTCACGATGATGAACAGCACCACCACCAGGCTGGTCGACACGAGCAGCTGCTGCCGCCGCCCGAACCGGTCCGTCAGCAGCGCCCCGGACACCGCCCCGATCAGCGACACCACGTTCTGCAGACCCTGCAGCAGCAGCTGCGTGTTGTTGCTGGTGATCCCCGCGCCCCGGAGCATCTGCGGGTAGTAGTAGCTGACCGGGCCGTTGCCGGACCATTGGCCGAAGAGAGCTGTGTGTGGTGTCAGTTACAGTTTGGCTAGGGCGAAGGGGGTTTCTGGGACGCTGCAGGGAAGGAGGCTCACCCATGAAGATCACCAGCATGGACCGATACCGCGTCTCGCGGGTGTTGAACAGCTCGCGGTAATCCCACCACCGCTTGTCGGACCCCGTCTTGGAAATGTCCTCCATCATCTCCCGATACTCCAGCTGCACGATCGGAGCGTTGCGGTCGCCCTCGCCGTGGTACTCGGCCAGAACGTTGAGGGCATCTTCGTGGCGGTCGTGGGACATGAGCCAACGGGGGGACTAGACACGATTAGCATGTCTTCATGGCACGGATCATCCCCGAGAGAGACCTACCTCGGGGAGGAAGTAAACGAAGCACAACACCAGCCCGGAGAAGATCATCTGCAGCCAGATCGGAATCCGCCAGCTCATGTCGCTCTGGATGTGGCTGGTGCGCCACGGGATGAAGGTTCCCGGAATACCACCCCCGAACCACAGCACGTTGTACAGACCCGTCATGGCCCCACGGTAGGCCGGGTGGGCCATCTCCGACACGTACGCCGGTCCAGCAGTGGCCGAGGTCGCCACGCCAAATCCGAGTAGGAAGCGGCCGCCCATGAATCCGCCCAGGTTGTGGCACGAGGCTTGCACGCAGGTTCCGATAATGATGAAGATGGCGCCAATCGCCATGCCGACTCGTCGTCCTATCGTGCGCACACACGTCAGAGCTTTGATTTCTGTGGTTAGACCAGAGGAACGGGGGGAAGAAAATACCCTTGAAATCGGTGAAGGGACCCGCCGTGAACGATCCGACGATGTTTCCGATGGTATAGATGGCGTACACGATACCGGTCGAGGGGGTACCGGCGTCCGGGTCGAATCCGAAGTAGTCACGGTACTGGGGGTAACTGTTGATCGAGCCCATCAGGGAACCGTCGTAACCGTTGATGCAGGAGTTGAGCATGGCGACGGCGATACAGCAGTACAGCTACTGTTCGTGAGCATCCACCACACACCCAAAACCACCGGGACTGCACACATACCTTGAGCATGCTCTTGCTCCACAGACTGGGCTTCTGCTGGATGGTGGCCACCGCCAACGCCGCATTGTGGACCCCCTTGACCTGGACCTCGGACGAGTCCAGGTGGGAGACCTCCGCCGTGTGTTTCTCAGACATGGTGAGAGAGCTTCCGGAGACAATCTTTCGAAATTGATGTTCTAAGCTGACCTGCAAAAAAGAAAGAGAAACCGAAATCTCGAGCGGACATCCGGGAGCTCATATATACCATCGAAAGAATCGAAGCGAGGGCGGGCGGGCGAAGGGGGTGGTGGCATGGTAAGACTGGGTATTGCTGCATGTCTGACTATAGTCCCTTCCTGTCACCAGATGCCGCGGAAATTTTGCTGGGGGAGGACGCACTGTGATAGGACAGGGATTGGCAAAGAATAGGCTGAGTGGCGGGCTAATTGCAGCAAGGATGAGACCCCGTATCCAAACGGGATTAGATGAATCTGGGGAAGCTGGGGATGCCCGAAGGCGAGTGTCTGGCAGTCTGGGCCGGACTGCCGCAGGGAAATACGATCGTGGTTTTGGTTTTGGCCATTTGCCATTTGCCATTTGCCATTTGCCATTTGCCATTTGCCATCTCGCTAGAAATTGGAGGGGTGAGAGAAAGGGTTGGGGCACGATTGAGCCATATTGGTGTGTTTGTTGGTGGTTTGGCGTGCCAGACGGGCCACGGGCCGAACAGCCGGATGAGACCCCATGGGGATTAGAGGGTTTAGAGGGATTAGACACACGAGATGAGCGAGATTAGACCCTGCCTTGGTCTCTTCCTGGTAGGTTCTCGGCCCTCGACTCCGTTCCGGGGGACATGTGAACTGAATTTCAGGGTCTTAAGCGAGTGGTTGGGTCGAACTATAGCTGGCTGAGGTATATGCCCCCCCCTTCTTTGTTCACTTTGCTCGCTTTCCCCGCGGTTTTTTGCTGCCCACATGGCGAATTTGGATCGAGCCCTAAATTAGACCCCGGGATGATCAGTGAATCGCCTCCAGAGTCTCTCCCTGTTCGACTGACCTTTCGCACAGACACCTTTCCAGTCACTCGATCCACAATCGAATTGACCGGACTGCTTAAGCGCCCAAGCTACTGCAGGAGGTTATTGGGAGTTCCCTTCCATCTCTGCCATCCCCATCTCATGGCATCGATCGAGCTGGGTGAAGCTCGCCGACTGCCGCCCTTCCACGTGTCTCCCCCAACCCCCGACGAGGGGCAGCAGGCATGCCATGCTTTTCGCCATGCATCTCGCTTGACTTATCCGGACTCGTATCGTATTGCGTTTTTGCTATATTCTATCATAGGTATCATAATATACTGTACAAACCAACATGCAGGAAGAAACGTCGTACACCAACAGTAGTCAGTCACCCGTCATGTTGCCTCCTGCCTCCTTCCTTCGCCTCTCCCAACAGGATTCACCCCTTCCCCTTCTCTTTTTTTTTCCTAGGTTGTCACAAACACTCCACACTCCCCCGTCTGAGGCAAACCGCCCCCTCTCCCACCGTCTACCCCATCAGCTCCGCCTTCTCCGCGGGACTAATATACAGACTCAACGTATAATACCGCCCGGCAATCAGCTCCGACACCCCCTGCTGGTGCTGCAGCTGCGCCGCGGCGCCGGCCAGCACCAGCCGCGACCCGCCCGCGAAGGGGGTCGCCACCCACAGCGGGGTGCCCGCGCGATCCGCGCCCGTCCAGCTCTCGGCCGTGCACGACATGCTGCTCCCGTACAGCAGCGGGTTGAACCCGTTGCAGACGGCCTCGGGGATGTGCAGGACGTTCTCGAGGACGAGGGTGTGCGTGTTGGGGTTGTCGTTGTTTGCGAAGGGGTTGTGGTCGCGGCTGCTGGGGGCCAGCGACCGCGCCACGGGGATCTCGACGGTCCCGACGCCGGCCACCTCCAGCTCCTCCATCGGGTTGAAGATGTTCGTCTGCAGCCGCACCGTGGTCACGGACCGGTAACTCGTGAAGGCGGCGCGGTCGCGCGCGTAGTGGCAGTTGCCCTGGACGATCATCCAGTCGTAGCAGACCCGGTGGGCGGTCGGGTCCGTGCGCGCGCGCTTGAGCGTGCTGTCTTCGAAGTCGGTGTCTGAGAGGGTGCGGATGGACATCTTGGTCGGAGGATTCTGGCAGGGGTATGATTGGATGTGTTTGGGGGGAGGCGAGGTGAGGGGTTTGGGTGGTGGAGCGGGTGCTGTAGCTGTCGCTGTGGCTGTGGCTGTGGTGATTGGTTCAGGTTAGTGATGGTGGTCTTTGTTGGTGCTGGTGCTGGTGCTGGTGCTGGTGCTGGTGCTGTGCTGGACCGAGCTTACCTAGTACACTGGCTGAGTGTCGCAAGGTAGATACGAGTGGTGGGTGGTGATGAGGTCTAGTGTATAGATGTTGGATGGATGCAATTGAGTGTTGGGGAAAATACCAATGGGTGCTGATGGATAAGAGAGTGGATGGGCACAGGCTGAGATGAAGGAAAGTAAAAGAGTGTGGTTCAGATCTCAGATGCGAGCAATTCCAAGGCTGGGGAAGAAAGACAGACGAGGAACCAGCGGGCGGAGCTTTCTGGCGCCGAATGCGGTCCGCCGGCAGTATATCTCCGGGCGGTCGGGGGCGTCAGTCACCGCCAGCCACTAGTTCTCAAACAGGTTAGTCGTCTGGGCAACTTGGAAGGTGGGAGTCGATTACTCATGACTTTGGGTCACGTGATTGTGGTTCACGCTATGAGCTGGGTTGATGCTTGGCTTTGCGGTGCGCTTAAGATTCTCATATGTGCATGTGCAGACTGGTGGATAATGGTGATGTGGCAATATATCTAGGTAGTCGGGCTTCAGACCAGATTTGGAGTGGAGGTTGATCCTGGGGTACAGTAATTAGGGAATGCTTCGTCGTGCTGGTTCCGCATGTAACATACATACTGGACACCTCCTGAAATAGAGAGCTTGGCAAGCTCTATTTCCTTGCATTAGAATGAGTTTTCTTTGGTTATCTTGAGATGCGAGATAGAAGAGTTGTGACAGACAGAAAGAATATCGATGACTTCATCCTATTAACCCTCTCCCTCCCCGCGGAACATATATTCCGCTGTGTCGAACCCACCCCCGGGAACTCTATAAAACCCCATCGTCATCGCATGTAACCTCACCCAGTCCCTTGTTCACTTTAAGCTTATTGACTTAACATACCTCGACCTACTTCCATACAAGCACATATCCATACACACATACCTACACACCCTTGATCAACATCATGTCTCACCTCACCTACTACAACTACGACGGCGTCGGCAAGCGCAACCAACAGACCTTCAAATACAGCCAGGCTGTCCGCATCGGCGACCGCATCGAATGTTCCGGCCAGGGTAGGTGCTCCCCTCGCCTTCTCTCGATTATCCCAGTCAGCCAGGTCAATGCTAAATTCTGCGGTAAAAAGGCGGCTGGGACCCCCAGACCGGCGAGATCTACCGGGAGATCAACGCGCAGATCGACCAGGCCTTTAGAAACGTGGACCTGAACCTGAAGACCGCGGGCGGGAAGGGGTGGAGCCAGGTGTTCCGGGTCAACTCGTACCACGTGCCCATCAACAACGAGGCGCTAGACGCCATGGTCCGGAATTTTAAGCAATGGATGCCTGACCACGAGCCGCTGTGGACCTGCGTCGGGGTCACGCGGCTGGGCGAGGATGATATGCGCGTCGAGATTGAGGTGGTCGCGCATGATCCGAAATAGATTCCGCAGGAGATTGGGAATGGGGATGGGGACGAGGGGATAGGGCGAAGTGTATCAGTAACTGCGTTCAGACGCTTTGTGACTTGATTCAGCGTGATGGCAGAGATAAAAAAGCGAAAGCATGAGGTTCTTGGTGGTTGCATCTGCATAATGAACGCATATGAGGATTGATGAGAACTATCATCTCAGTATCAAAGTATCGATGCAATGGATCAATGAAGATAACAGCCTTAGCCATGTAACAAAGAACCTGCAACTTCTTCTTCGCTCAGGTATCAGAACCTGAATTAGATTATTCGTTGTTTACTCGCAAGCATCGGTTGATCGATTTTGTGATTGGAACAATGAGCATTGTAAGCTCTCTGTTGTAAAGAGCTCCATATAGCCCGTCCTGCTGCGTATAAATCAGTTAGAAATATTGTATCAGTAACCTCAACCATCCATCTTCACCCGAACTACAGACTTCACCTCTCTGACTCAGCTTCAAGATGCCGTACTTCCGCTTCCGTGCCTACAGCGAGCTGAAGAAGGATCTCGCCCGTCTTAGTATGGCGAGCGAGCCTGACACAGACCCTGAGACATCGGACGCTGAGCCGCGCGTGCCAACTTCCGCAACATCCAATGCTGCAACGCAGACATCTGACGACGGAACCATGTCCAGCAGTGAAGACGGGGGCGTCCTTCTCACGCCGCAGCAGACTGACAGCGAGAATGAGTCGATCGACAGCGATGACCATCCCAAAGTCCTAACGGCCCAGGGCACCGGCAACGACGCTCCCAACGAGGGCACCATCGTGTTCTTCCCCTGGCGCACGCAGCTGGGATGTCCGACCCTCGAGCAGATCAAAAAGCACCGCAGCTTCGAAGAGGTCTTCTCCAGCAGCGACTTCCGCAACTGGGACTGCCTGCAGCCCGCCGAGCAGGCACGCCGCCGCGTCCTGGCGCGCAAGATCAATAACCCAGCCAACAAGCCCGCGGATGCGGCGTGCGACATCTGTGAGCGTGTCGATCCGCACGTGGACCTGTGCTGCGAGGGCTGTACCACCTACTTCCACTTGGAGTGCGCCTGGAATCGGCACGGTGCGATTGAATGGGGCACCGAGTATAAATTCAGGATACCTATGCATTGCCCGGTATGCCGCAAGCCGTGGAGGTTTGGTGCCGAACTGTTCGACCAGGGGCTGCTGAAGAATGACGAGGATGAGGCGGTGGAGCAGGCTGAGAGTTTCCAGTACTTGAAGATGGAGGGTCATGTTTGGAAGTGAGGCCTGAGGTCAGTCACCTCCGAGCTTGGTCCTCTGGCTGTTCTGTTCAGGTGACACCCTGTTATCTCGTTTATCATGAAATGATATCGTAACGTTTGATGTATTTAATGTGAACATCGTTTTCCGCTATTTGATTCTGAATCAGCATGTGATACTGTGGTGAGCCACTGAGATAGCAATCATTGATGTATGAGCTTGGCGTACCAGTACCCTGACGCGGGAGGAGCCAGTTTTTAAGTATGCTCAACCGAGAGTAGCCATTCGATGACTTGAAAACCCAGGCCAAAGAAGATGTAGTATACAAAAAAGAAGGCCACGGCCGCAGAGCCATATGCATGCTTGTTGGCGCCTCCTTTCTCATCACTGAAGCGCAGCAGCACGGTGATCAGCGAGTAACATACGCCTTGGGCCAAGGCACAGATCATAAGACGTCGTCGGCCCCATAGTTCAATTGTCGGGATTGTCACGACCGGCCATTGCCTGCAGTGTTTCCCTGTTATCCCGCTGTGATGCGGAGGTCTCGTGCAGGCTTGTTGTGTACACTCCCAAGAAAATTGACGGCAATCATTCCATACCTCGAGTCAGGTCGTAGACAGCCATTTGTACCTTGCTTTCGATCTGATGCTATGGCGGTATAGGGCGCATGGTGTTTTCGGTCCAAGGCGGGTTTGCATGCTCGGTTCCGGCGGATGCTGGCTCGCCCGGCCAGAAGTTCGGTTCCGGACCCATTAATGCTCAACATTGAGCTCCTGCCCCACGAGAGCTGTAACACCGGCCCGGATGACTCGCGTCGGGATGGATCCGTGTTAAAGAGAGGTTGCTCGGGGCTGGAGAACAGTATTTGAATAACAAGAAAAGATTTCCTTCTTGGGAACAGAATTGCTCCTCGTTTATCACCAGTGGGCAGCGCCGTGTGACAGTGAAGCAAGACACAAGCTAAGCGGGTAGGTCCTAAAACCCGCAAAAATCGGAGTCGATACTACCACGACGAGAAGAAGGAATAGACACATAAGGCGGGGACGAAACCGACCGGGGAAGATCCTTTTTTTGATGTCTCGCTAGCTCTAGTCGATGGTAGATCGATGCGGGGAATCAGCAATCAGCAATGCAATTATTGTAAGGAAGGCCGGAACCGAAGCCGCACTGCTCCGCCGGAATTGAGTCAGTTCGCCTCTGGTCCATAAACACGACCTGCCGGCAGGTATAAGAAAGGACAAAGAGAAGCCAGGACATACTAGCAGATTGTCAAATATCTGACCTTGAGAATCGTCTAAGACCTGGAAACATGATTGCTGCATATTCGACCCAGGTAGGCGATTCCCTGAATGTCATTGGGTCTTTTTGTAAAGCTTCGAGTCACTGATTCGTCAATTTAAGGACGCCAATTTGGCTGCCGTGCTCAAGCCAGGTGGCTCCTTTTACTACGAAACCCGCAAGGCACCAGAGATTCAGTCCGAAAGGGAAGTCATTGTGAAAATCGTCGCAACCGGGCTCTGTGGCTCTGATGTGAGTACTGACTTTCATCCCCCTGACGCCGGTAAATCAGATCAGAGTTAATACATAATTGTTTCAACAGGTACATTACTGGCAACACGGACGAATCGGTCGCTATGTGGTAGAGAAGCCAATCATACTGGGCCATGAGTCAACAGGAATCGTGGTCTCTTGCGGTAGCAAAGCTGAAGGGCTCGCCGTGGGAGACCGGGTTGCCCTAGAGCCTGGGGTCGCCTGCAATACGTGCGAGCCGTGCCGCAGGGGCCGTTATAACCTCTGCCGCGACATGCGTTTTGCAGCGACGCCGCCAATTGACGGGACACTTTGCACATACTACCGCGTCCCGGTCGAGTGTTGTTTCAAGCTTCCCGCCCATATTTCACTGCGTCAGGGCGCATTAGTTGAACCGTTGAGTGTGGCAGTGCATGCTTGTCGGCTCGCAGGAGATATGCAGACCAAGTCCGTCATCGTCTTCGGCGCGGGTCCAGTTGGACTCCTCTGCTGTGCTGTTGCCCGGGCCTTTGGTGCATCTACCGTGGTGGCCGTTGATATTGTTTCCAGTCGGCTTACGGCTGCTGGCAAGTACGGAGCCACACATACATACCAAATGAGTGACGCATCGCCTGAAGTGAATGCGGCCGACCTTCTCAAAGCGGCGGGACTCGAAGACGGTGCAGATGTGATCTTGGACGCAACGGGGGCGGAGCCCTGCCTGGTCTGTGGTCTGCACGCGGTCACGCCAGGAGGCACCTTCATTCAAGTGGGCTTAGGTCGACCCAGTGTCACCGTTCCTATTGGTCAAGTCTGCGATAAAGAGGTTACTCTGAAGGGCAGCTTCCGCTACGGCCCTGGAGACTTCCGAACCGCCATAGGACTGCTTGACGCCCGACGTGTCAGTGTCGACGGCCTTGTTACTCACGAATACTCCTTCACGCAGGTCGAGGAAGCATTCCAAAATGTGGCGAACAGGATAGGAATCAAGAGCGTCATATATGGGCCGGAGGTGGACGCAGAAACAGCCAATGCTGTCATAGCGTAGAAGCTGGGTTTCGGTGCGGTAACTTCTTTTCATGGCGACCATAAAACTTTGGGATATAGAGATACACCGTATAACGAGTTTATGAAATCCACTTGCATCACAGTCCATTCCATGTGGTATCCCAGAGCCAGTACAGCCCGTTTTCTACGTTGTTATAATGACCGTCTTCCCCAGGAGGTGTGAGACCATTGGGCTGTTGCCAGTCGCCCGACGCAGGTAGCGCCCAGTCATTCGTCGGTGGAATGCTAGGATGAGCAGGCAATTGACCCCGCTGATTTTCTCCTAGTACGGGGACGTGGAGCGTGTAATCCTGGCCAGGAACCATGACTGGAATTTTATTCATGAGCATCAGCATGAGCACATTAACAAACAGGGAGATGAGAATGGCTTACCGTACTGAACGGAAGTCAAGCTTTCGTTGACGCGGCCAGCGCGATTGAAGTTAGAGCTGCCCTGGCTGCCCACCAAGGGATCCACCATGTCCAAAGTCGCATTTAATGGCAATCGCAGCGTCTCTTCAACAGACATGGGAGGCGGATCAGGCAGAGCTCGGTCGCCATTGGTATCGTACTCGATGAAGGCGGCGGTTTCCGCAAGAGGGGCGAGCATAGCGGCCGATTCTCGGCGGAGAAGCATTGTGACCACCTTCTTCAAAACCTGAGTACTCTGTCTTGAGAGCGCCGAACGCTTTCCCAATAGGTCTTGTAGACGGAGAATGCGGGTCATCGTCCGCTTGACTTCTTGAGCTGTATCGGAAAGCGGCTCGGATATGGCCATTACTGCCAAGACAACCGCGGCGTTGAATAAATTGATGGCGAGGAAGGCGACCAAATGACTTTCGGTCGCAAGTTGCGCAAGCACAGGTAGTTCAGTTATCCTGGACGTTCGAATAGCGGCTTTCATCCAAAATTCCGAGCTGGCTGTGCTGGCTTGGATGGGAGTTCTTTTAGACGTGTCTGGAGCAGCTGCCGTCGCAAAAACAGTCGAATGGATATCGTCCACCCCCGGTGACATGTTGCTCGTCCAAAGATGGTCCACCTGCCTTGAGATTAAAGGACGATAGAGCACGATCAAAATGTTGTCATATGTTAGATGAAGCGACAAGGCTTGCAAGGCGTACGCTTTGGAGCTCTGTTCATCGGTTGCACGGAAGTCTTGCTGGAGATCGAGGACCAAGTGGCTCGGGAGACATTGTCGCCATGAATGAAGCTTTTCCGAAGTCTCCTGAACCAAACTTACAAAACTGTCTCTGACTAAATCTTGAGACGTCCTTGACGTACGAGAGCCGAAGATGATCTCAAGCGCCGGAGAGGCAATCAGATACAATCGGTTCAATTCCCTCTGGTATGGTGAATAGCACACAGAAGCAGAGTCATCAGAGACCGGATGAGCGAAGGAAGGGTTTTCGTAGATGTCGGCAGGCATGCTCAAATTGCAATCCTTGTCGTTGATGCCCAATGGTGTGCCGTACGTAATGGATGCAAATCGATCCCATGTGTAGATAGTCCACCACACTCGCTTTCGCTCTTCGATGTCATCGATGTCCCCTCGTCGAGGCTCCCGATGCATGCCAATCGCATGTGCCATTTTGATAGTCGCCCCAAGCAGAGTGAACGACAAATTAGGTCGTCCGTGGTAGACATGATACGAACCGAAGAGAATACAAGTCTGTATTGCGAGGACGGAAGGCTGGTCCATCACATCTATCAGATTGTTCTCAACAAGTCGCATAAGAGTCTCACTCCAGTCCGCCCAGTTATCGTTGGCGTTAGCTGTCTCCTGGCGGCTGCGTTGTGACCGGTACCATGCCGCCATACCGAGCATAACTGCCAGTAGTAGAAGGAAGGGTCGCTGGGTAGGGTCGGCGCAGCCATCGGCAATGGTTTGAAGCTTGCGACGAAACTTGGGCTCATAGACCACCAGTGAAAACCAATGAACCGTGTCAAAGTAATCATCCAGAAGGCTGTAGACGGTCTCGGTCGCAGGAAATGGTTGACCTATTATGGCGGAAATAGGACGACGATTTGCGCCAGTGCCAGGCGCAGGCAAAACGCCTTTACTTGTTGAGTAGCCAGGGATGGCCGAAGTGGTTTGCTCGTCCAGATGCTGGCTGCCGAGCTCGCATATCTTACGAGCGATACCCATGGCAGACTCAGCTTCACCAGGTTCGATGGAGGACGAGATTGGGTTATGTTGTCGGCGATTGTCCGCCGACATTGTTCGCAGCGACGTAACGGGATCATTTTCTCCAGTGGTCGGGCCCCGCAACAGTTCCCTAGATTGAGGACTGTATATTTGCCTTTGGCGGCGCGATAATTTCCCTCGAGCGCCGGGTAGTCTGCGTCTAGAGCTTCAGATCATGCGGTCAGCTCGGGACTACTAGACAGCCGCGCTTCCTCTGGCAGCCATAGAGAATTATCTCAGAAAGCTTACGATGGGATATTTCCCGCACGGCGTTGAATTGCAGGGCGTTGCCGACATTCGACATTCGCTCGCACACACAATGAGCATGGACGATATGGATCACACTGTCGTGAGTCGGGGTCAGTTCATTGATCTATGAACTATGCCGGACCCGCAAGTCGGTGTGCTTACCCGGGATTTGTGGAGACGGCATCGTTCACAGGCGCTACTGACGCGTGTGGGTAGCACTGAAGGTGCCAATCGTGTTCTCCTTGGTTTGTTGCACTGTGAAGCTGAACTTGGCGAGACAGAGTCTGCCACAGATGTCGATGCTTCGGTCTGTTCTTCCATGAGCGAGCGGGATAGGCAGAGTTCCAGTTGCAGGTTCCGGCGGAAGATTGCAGGCAAGAGGCAGAAGATTCGGGCGGAAGGAAGTATTGCCGAGGCGGTGACCAAGGCGGTGATGCCCCCTCGCGTCTTTCCCCCCGCTCTACTGTACGTACTCGTAGTCTGTAGCAAACTTCATCTCAGGATCTGGATAAGTTGACATTTGCATCTATTAATTCGCATCCTCTAAATGAGTATAACATCACACGGCTGGCTTTAAGCAAACTTTCAACTTCTATCTATATCAAGAATCCCGTCCGACGCCAATACTGCACGTATCCCCGCACTGTCCTCTGATCAACAGGCCCCAGGCTCTGTAGTGTGGACGCGTCTCGTCGGGCACGCGTTGTCGCCAACAGCAATCCCCCGCAAGACATGCGCTCAAAGTTGCCAGCCAACCAGTCCGCCATCATACGTGCAGGGTTGTCTTCTCGTGGACCAGTATAGGCCCCAACCCGTTCAATCCACTCCGAGAACGGGAGCAAATTACCAAGGGGAATTCCCAGTTCCTGTGCGAGAATGGCCGTCATCTCTTGCCACGGTTGACGAGCCACATTATCGACATGATAGACGGAATGTGCTTTCTCGGTGAATAAAAGCTCGCTTAGAGTGGCTGCAACGGTATTGACAGGCGTCCAAGACAACACCCCGCCAAAATCAGGCAATACCTTGAGTGTCTGGGCCGATTTCAGCAGGGCGGGTAAATGCTCCGCAGCATTCCAGTATCCGCTGAGCGATGACCCTGCAATTTGACCAGGTCGTACCACCATGGCATTGAATCGATTTGGGTACCTCTGCAGGGTTTGATGCAGAATCTGCTCACAGACAAACTTCGCTTCGCCATATCCATTGGCCAACGCCCAGTCAATCACGCTTTCATCCTCCGGGACTTCTGGCTCACTCATCACCAGAGGACGAAATCCGACCGTACTAATGGAGGATATGAACTGAAATCCAATTCGATCCTTTGCAGGTCGGACAGATGCGATGTCGCATGCTAAATCAACTAGGTTCCGCATGGTTCGGAATTGAGAGTCAAATCCAGACAGGCCGCGGGCACCGTTCATCGGCCAAGCGTTGTGGATGATATGTGTGACAGTCGTCTGTACAAGTTGATGCTGCTCGTCTGACAGACCGAGCTTTACCTCTTTCGTATCTGTCTCAATCACCGTGATTTTATTCAAGTTGTTAGAATTCAAACCAAGACCGCGCTCAGCAAATGCCTTCTTCTGTCGTTCAAACGGATCCTCCTTCCCCGGTCGGTTGAGGCAGATGACCCAACTAACCTCCTGCAGCTGCACCAAATATGCAACTATGTGAGAGCCCAAGCTGCCTGTGGCCCCCGTCACCAGAACAGCGACCGGTCCAGTCACTGGACTATGGGTCACTCTTGGTCCGGTAAAGCCTTCAATGCTGCGACGGATATACTTGTCAGTCGCTTGCTTTCGAGCAACATTGTCAACACTGGCAAGGAGGCTCACATGAGACAAATTCGACCCCAGCGGAAGCCGTTCGCGTTGCTCTCCGGTAGAAGTAGCAAAGAGCACTCGTTGCACGCCCGCTTCAGCCGAATGGCCATCTGTCCAGTCCACGTGGCCGTAGCCGACGGCATGGAGGTCGGCTTCCCAGCGTTTCTCGCTAGTGATAGCATGGTTTCGCCCATCATTGAATACCCACCAGCCACGGAAGAGTCCGAAAACAATATCAATCGTGAACTGTGGTCGAGTCATCTCGAGCATCAAGACCACTCCGTCGGGTCGTAATGCTCGACGCATATTTCCGGTTGACACCTGCAGATTCGAGGTTGCATGCACAGCGTTACTGGCGATGATGATATGCTGAGTCCCAACTAAATCGTCTGCCGGGGGCTTCTCGATGTCATGCACACGATACAGCACGAAGGGATATTCTTTGAAGCGCCGACGGGCTTGCGCCAAGAAGGCAGGGGAGATGTCGGTAAAGGTATATTCGACGGGGACCCCAAGCTTGGCCAACACAGGCAGGAACCATTTTGTACCTCCTCCGGTACCAGCGCCCATTTCGAGGATCTTCAGCGGGCCTGTCCCCGAACGACTGCCAAGCTTGTGTACGAGCCGCTGGATGAAATCCAGCATTTGCTTGTAGCCACTGACGTTGTGCGATTCATCACCGTACATCCATGACACAAGCTCCTGTCCCTCTCTTGTCCCGAAGATCAGCTGGAGTCCATCTTGTTCGCCCCTTAACACCGATGCCAATTTGCTACCTGTATAAAAGGCAAGCTTGCTGGCACCTACGAACTCAGGGTAGGTCCGACCGATTTCCTCGAGAATGGCAGTGCTAGACATGCTGGTCCACTCCAAGCTCGTACGAATCACGGTTCCTTCATCCAACTCTACCAGGCGAGCTTCCTCCAATCGGGAATAGAGGTATTCCACCAACTCTTCGTGCTGGGCATCAAATTTGATCCGGTCGAGCCGCTGGCCTGGTTGCGCACTTCGAATGAATGAACCTAGCTCCTCGAATGCTTCCAGAGTCATGGTCACGCAAAGCTGCATCTGGACTGGGTTGAAGCTAAGCACGCGCCCGCTGCAGTTGTTCTCCGAGAGGAACTGATCTGTCAAGGCTTTGGTTTCGGCGAACGCGCACAACATCATGTCGTGCGGCAGATGTAGCTCGGGCGCGTCAGTGCTCATGCTAGTCACGGATTCGGTGCCACCAGCGTCAACCGCCTCATCTGACTCTGTTTCACACTCGGTATAAGAGGTAGTGCCAGTCTCGCTGGTCTCATCCATATCTTCCGCTTCATCGACTGTCTCGATTCCCAGAGCTCTTTGCACCGCACGGACTAGGTCACGGAACGTCTCCGCCTCCATCAGTTCAGTTGCTGGCAGCGTACACTTGAACACTTCCTCCATCTCGCGTGCCAACTCCATTGCCATCAAAGAATCGACGCCAGCATCAGCCATATTACCATCATCGTGGATTTCACTGGGATCGACAGCACAAAAATCAGCAACCACGCCCTTGATGCGTGCGACCAGATCGGAAGCCTGTGACTTTGCCTTTTTCGCCTTGGAGACTGGATCACTAGCTGTCGCTTTCGGTGGCGAGACTGCTTCTGTCACAACTGCCGCATGATGAGTCTGTTGAGGAACTATACTCGACCCCAGCTTGCTGAGGATCTTGCTGAAGACTGCCTTTGGCACACAAGAGTATTTCATCCCAATGAACGTTTCTACTAGTTGGCCCTTTTCCGGGTCAAAGACAAATATGTCAGTGGTATAGAAGCCCTCTCCTCGTTCATGTGTTGCTAGCACTTCCCAAGTCTCAGGACGCGGTGTGCTCGGGTCAGCATATAAGGGTGTACGCATCCACTGCTCCATGCCGCTGGCGATGTAAATATGGGACGCTGGTCGATCGGTCATACAATTGATCCAGAAACCTCCGACTTGGCTAAACGAGTCACACAGAAACGTGTCCGCCCAGGTCTGACCGGAATACTTCTTCACCACTCGACCGGCTGACTGATTGCCCTTGCCGACCAACTTGTGAACCCCACGGTAAGACTCAGCGTACTCCACAACCTCGGAAAAGGCGCGGTACACATTCCGACCTTGCAGGATGTCATCTACGTCGGAGCTTTCGAGGAGTTCACGGCATCGACGATGACTGACCAAGCGACCGTACCGGGAAAATTCGCTCTGGAGCGCGGGATCATCGGCCTTGAACATCTTGATCCGACCAGCACAATGTACTACCTGCGATCGTGCACCCTTTTCAGGATTCTCGCTGGTAAATTCCATCTCCCAGAGTGTCTTGCTTGTGTCTTGAGCGGTCAGTATGATGTAGACGTTTTGTCTTTCATCCAGCCCCAGCGGCGCATCACTGGTGACATTCTTCACTTGCGGTACTCTGTCTTTGCCCTCTGGTAAGCTTCTCAGTGCTTCAACCACGCTATCGAGCATGAAGGAAGCTGGCGCGAGAGGCGCGGTTTGTGCACCTATGTGGCCTGACACAGCTTCACGATAGCTGGGGTGCGTAGTATCGATGGAGAACTTGGCGGTCATCTTCGCCGAGCCCTGGTATCCTAGGAATTGGATTTTTGGCTTTGGCTGCTCCTCTTGTACTTCACTCGCTTCGGGGCTAGTTGCGGGCAACGGCTTGTTGTCCATCCAATGTCGGCTCTTCTCAAATTGATAGGGTGGAAGAAAGATGAAGTCATACTCGGGTGTCTGCGACGAATGATGTGCCCAGTAGGAGACAGAGACTCTCTCCTTCCACAGCGCGATTGTGTTATCGGTCAGACTTTGGACTCCATTCTTGCTTGTGATATTGACGGTTAGGAATCGATGGTTTGCGGCAGCACTTGATCCCAACGCCCGACTGGCCATCAAAGTGATGGTTGAATTGGAACCAGCCTCGAGCCAAATACACGACTTGTATTTCTCTGCCAGACGATTGACAGCCTGACTGAAGTACACCGGCTTTCTGAGATGCTCAGCTGCAATGGCTGGAGAGGGGATTCCAGTGCATGGCTCTTCCGTTGCCCGCTCCAGGTGCAATTCCGGCTCGCGGAACGTCAATCCGTCAGTTATCCTCTTCAAGTCTGGAACGAGTGAATCGACCAGCGATGAGTGGAATGCATTGGTCACGTCCAGATATTTGTATTTGAGACGAGAAAATGCTGGCTTTGTGGAAAGCATCACACGCACTGCGTTCATCGCTTCTGTTGCTCCAGCTAATGTATAGCTACGGGGACCGTTGAAGCAGGCGATACTAGCGGGAGACGTTCCAGTCGACACAAACTTCGCGGCTTCCGCTAGCAGATGCTCGACTTCGTGGAGCTCGCCCTCTACAGCAATCATGGCGCCGGGATCTGGCCCCCAACTGTCCCGAATCAAAGTCGCCCGTCTAGCGACTAGGAGTAACGCATCCTCAAGGCACAGCGCCCCAGATACGCAGAGAGCAGTTAGCTCTCCAAAGCTATGGCCAACAATGGCCGTTACTGTGAGGCCACAGTCCATCCAGGAGCGAGCGCTGGCATATTGCAAAGCGAACAGCTGTGTCTGTAGCTTGACCTGGTCCGCGATCGGCGTGGACTCGAAGATGCTAGGATAGAGACTGTCATATCCAAGCGACTCCAGGATTCTGCTGCAGTCATCGAGATGATTGCGCAGAATGTGCATTGTGTCGTACACGGTGCGATCCAGCCCAACCGAAGTTGACACCTGCCCACCAAAACACAAAACCACGGGGCGGGCGGACTTCGCCATGCGGAGAATTCGACTTTCGTCTCCATCAATAACTGACAGTAGCCTCGACTCGAGCTCTTTGAGTGAACTGCAATTGTATATCAGGTGCGTATCGAGTGTCGGGCTACATTGTCGCGCGACGTTGAACGACACGTTAGCCAACGATGTGAGATGGCTGGCGGAGACTGCCTGATCTTGCAAGAGACTGTAAAACTTTCGTGCATAATCACGCAGACGGTTCTCGTCCAACCCACAGAATCGGAAGGGCAGGGAGATGCCGGGGGCGTGAATGGCAGAGGCACCGCTCCCTGTTCGAAAGCCAGGTGGCTGAGTGACTACCATGGATGCGTTCGACCCACAAGCACCGTAATTATTGATCAGCGCCGCGCGGAAATCTGCTTGCCATGGCTTTAACCTGGTGGTGATTTCGATCCGATCTTCGACAGCCGCCTGGATGTGTGGATTCAGATTGTGGAAGTTTGGTTGGGGCGGAAGCTTTCCTTCGTGAATCATCAGGAGTACCTTGACCAGCGCGACCATGCCAGAGACACCTTCGGTGTGTCCAACCAGCCCTTTGACTGAGCCCAGCGTCAGCGGGACTGCTCGTTGTGGACCACCCATTACCTGCCTCACGCTGCTATATTCGGCCGGGTCACCCGCTTGTGTTCCGGTGCCATGAGCCTCGACAACCGAGATTTCATGCGGGCGGATGTGGGCCTGGCGAATGACTTTGTCGAACAAACCTGCCAGCGATGGTGCATGAGGTACCACCACCGGGGTACAATTGTCATTCTGCTCTACTGCGGTGCCGGCGATAGTACCCAGGATTGTATCACCATCAGCCAGCGCGTCGGACATCTTCTTGATAAAGATCGCTGCAAACCCCTCGCCGCGGCAATAGCCATCAGCCTTTTCATCGAACGGCTTGCATGGTCCCGTGGGGGAGACGAACGACGCTCCATTCAAATTATCGAACGCGAGCGGACTCGTGAGAGCATTGGCGCCTCCAACGAGCGCAGCTTTGCAGTCACCGCTGAGGATGGCCCTGCAGGCGTGGTGCAGCGCAACGGCGGAGCCGGAACATGCGGTGTCAATACACAGCGCTGGCCCGCGCCATCCGAAGTAATGGCTCACCTTACCAGCCATGAAGCTTCGCAGTAGACCCGTGGCAGCATAGGCCGTCGCGGGATGGCAATTGACGTTATGCTCATAGTCGACGGTGCAGCAGGTGACATAGCACCCAACATCCTTAGTGGCATCCTTCTTGTGGAAGTATCCCGCTTGTTGGAGAGCCTGGTATGCGACCTGCAGAAACAACCGTTGCTGTGGATCCTGGGACATGACCTCCCTGGGCACCTTCTTGAAAAACTTGTGGTCGAAGGCATCGATGTCATGGACAAAATTGCCCCACCAGGGACGAATCGCGCCTGGCCTCCATGGGGTCTCATAGTCCTTGTAGCGTTCCGGCGGCAGCTCCCGATGTTGCGATTCGCCTGCACACAAGAGCTTCCAGAACTCCTCTAGATCATCCGCACCAGCCACGCGGCAACCCATGCCAATCACGGCAATGTCGTCGTCGTATATCGTCGGGGTCGACTGAAGTGGCGACACGCGCGACTGGAAGTCCAGGTTCAAATCCAAATAGTGCACCACGCGGCTTCCCAGCGTGCGCATGAATGTCGGGGGGACGCAGCGCTCCGATCCAAGTTCCACCACGATCGACTGCGTGTTTTCCAGTTGGGCCCGATGCACAGCCGCAAACGTGGGACCCCACTGACACTGCTGGGCCAGGATGGAGCGCAGAACTACCTGATGAAGCGGACCCTCATAGATAGGCTCATTGGTCATGTTTGTCCACGTGTGCCGTGGCAACTGCGAAGCATCTGGCAGTTGCAACGCGGAATCGGCCTCACACATCTGCCCCAGTGTATGCAATAGTTTCTGATGGCCCGGCCAATGATAGCGCCCGTTGAAGTTGATGTGGTATGCGGAGAATCCGGCCGTCTGGAGCGCTTGCTGCAGCCGGCCCAGGCTCTTCCGTGGCGTCATGATAGTCGCGCGGTTCGTATCATATCGAACCGTGATGTACGCCTAACATAAGGGGCATTAGCGCTCATCTTGCGAGTTACCCACACAAAATATCAGCCAACTTACCTCCGGATGCTGCTCAAGCACATGAGCCAGCTCCCCCTCCAACTCCGGCTTCTTCCACACGGTGGACAGCGAGGTATACTTCTCGCGGTTTTCCTGTTCATCCCCGAGCGCGCCCAGCAGAGTCGCCAGTCGAATCCCCACGGCCCCATACTCGCGCAACTGGGCCCGATTCGTGACGGTCGAAGCGACCGCGGCGCTGAGAAAGCCGAACGAAAATCCCACAATCTCCACGACCGGGCTCGTCTCAGCGTCCACGACGCCGTGCACGGCGTAATCCGGGTGCGTCAGCTGCAGGTAGCGCGCAAACTGCAGCAGGTGGGTAATCATCAGAAGCGGGGCATGCTGGAGGTAGGGCAGCGGGAAGTGGCGGTCAGCGACTTTGCCGGTGCGGATCCACTGGTTCAGGTCGCGCAGCTGCTGCTCACCCGGCAGCGCCTGCAGTGCCGGCAGGTACTTGGTGGCGGCGGTGCGCCAGTAGACGGGCAGCTCCGCCAGCACGTCTAGCACCCAGTGGTTGTCGGGCGTGTCCAGGATGACGCTCCGCAGGCGCCGGAAGTCGTTGGCGTCGAACTGCAGGGCCTGGCAGCCGAACAGCAGCACCGTCTTGCCTCCCGGCGAAGGCGAGAGTTGACGGGCCATGAGGTTTGGGTGTATGTTTTGTTTGCCACTCACAAATCACAAACCAAGTAGACAGGCAAGCAAGCAAACAGACCAACGAACAGGACACCCCAGCACAGACCCAAAGTCTACAACCCCCGCAAGTATCAATATACTGTATATGGATCGTGTCAAACTAATCCCGCGGAGGGAATGACCAACAACTGTTGATGAGGTAAGAATCAAGCAAGCAAGCAAGCAAGCAAACTTCCCCCACACGAACACGAACGAGGTGGCACTCACAACGTCCAAACCCCGGAGATTTTTCCTCCCGCTAAAGCGATAATGAACACGCGGGAATATTAGCCTCTACCCGGAGAAAGAATCACGAAACAAGAGACCCGTAGGGTAGCTATCACTCAATCCCAAGAGGAAAAAAACAGTCACAAATCCATACACAACAGACAACCAGAAAGAAAACAGAGAGCGGCATACAGGTTTTAATGCACAAATCCCACCGGCAAAGACCGTAGCCGAAACCACACAGACCGAGACAAGCAGAGGCAATGTTGTATGTGTGCACAGTCAGTCCCACGAACTGAACTGATCTCCCCGGCCTTTGGCCTTCCCAACTCCAGTTTCCGTCGGGCATATACGATACTCAACCACTTAAAAGCAGGTGGGTAGAGTTACACCCAGCCCTGTGACGACACAGGGAAAACGGGAAACGGGAAACCGAGATCCCAACTCATTAAACTGGCTACCTGACTAAACCCTTTCCAAATCAATTACATCGTGCTAACAGAGAAATGGGAGGCTCGCGAACCCCTGTTGCTGACAAGTAGGGCATATTCCGGTAGCATTCACATTACTTTTTCTTTTTCTTACCCTACCTACCTTGGATTACATACATACTACATGGAGAAACGACCTAACAGCTGACGATCTCGGAACAAATCCCATGCTTCCTTCTGCTGAGGGAATTTATCCTATTCTTAGATCCACGGAAACAGAAAATCGTATCCCCGAAAAGCGAAATCAGTCAGACAGGAAACCACCAGCCTGAACTAAAATATCCAGACAGAATCAAGAACGACAGACAGCTGGAGACAAAACGGCCGGAGTTTATTCTTCGGTGTATCTCCTCGGACTAGCTAGCTGGGTGCCAGATCCATCCAGTCCAGACTAGAAGGCGACAAGGTTGCACGATGGTCTGATGCCACGGTATGGTGCTCGTTCCGCCCCTTCTCAGCCCTCATCTCTACCCGGGTATTGGCTCCATCGTCAAGCCGACGTACTCCTCGGAGAGAAGAAAAGAAGAAAGAGGAAAGGTCGATCGACGGGGTCTGATTATTTTGTTTTTGATTTATCGACCTCTTTCCGGTTGGTTGGAGAAGACGTAGTCTCCTATCGCCGTTGGGAAGACGAAAGAGGCTTCGGAGTTGATAACAGCCCGGGGATAAGCAGTGGAGTTTTGGAGGGAGGGATTGTCTGATCGTGTAGTGGCTCATGGAGAAAGGAGTCATGGAGATAGGAGATAACCGATTTTTATGCACACGAGGTATAATTCCATTATATTAGGTTGAACTGTATCTTATAAGCAAGCCCTCGGCTGCTCCCCTTCATGCATCCCCGTGGTCAGCCCCTGAAATATAATATGCCATCTGATGGGCAGCAAACACGACACCATCCAACACCATTCATTGAATCCTATGAGCCTGCAAAGGAGAATGAAGCTGAATCGAGCCAAATCAAGAATCGGGAGAAAAAGGACAGATGATAAACCTTGCCCTCATTCATAACGCCTCGGCCATAACCATAGAACCACAAGCTTTCCACGCAACAATGATGACCTTATTTCAAGCCAATCCAGACCAACACCGAAAATTATACAGAAACAATCGATAAACCAGATACAGTTCTTGTTGAGAGAATCCGGACTATTAAACCACGGACAGGGTCGGACTTTGCACGGGGTTCTTCACTCTTTCCAGGTCGCCCAGGCACTCCAGCAGCTCATGCAACTTGACCTCGAACGAGGGATCAAGGTACGCATGAGCAGTCAGAAATTCGGTGCACATCATCAAGGGAATCGGGGTGAGAGGGTGGACCTGCAGGAGCATGGATGTTAGCATCGTTACGCATATACAAACTTCCTGCTTTCCGGAGCCTCCCACGGCTTGCTGGCTGTAATCTGGCTGCGAAACAATCACCTCCACGAGCAACGCATATCACTTCATGCCCTCTGAAAGAGGCGAGTCCGAATGCAGGGGTGGCTTCCACCAGATCCGGCTTGAGTCGCCAAGGTGATACAAAACGAAAAAAATTTAACTAACCTTAAAATACCCCAACTGTCCTTGCACCTTCACTAACCCTACCACCTCATGCGCGGCTAGCACACACAGCCGCTCATCCTCAATGATACCCAGTAGTTGATCCCCACCAGACTTCCACGCGACGGACTCGAGAACGTTGTGCAGGAACAGCACCATACTTTGCGCAACGATGCGCGCGAACATGATTAAGGGATCATCCAGAGCCTGCGGATTGGACGAAAGGGATTGAATTCGGGCACTGAGGAGTGCATGAAGAGCGTGATGACGATTCCAGAAGGCATCAAGCGAATTTGGAATCGGGGTGTGGGGACTTGTGGGGGAAAGAGGCGGGTAAAACGGTTGGAAGGGTTGCTCCATCACCAGAGCTTGGCGGTGCGAGAGGACTCGACCGACAATCGTGGCTAGGAGGATGAATTCGGTGAAGCTCGAGTATGTGACTTGATTGAGATCGTGATTGAGGACGGGTGTTGCTGTGGGGTTGGTTGGTGTTGCCACGGGTGGAAAGGCCATTGTAAGGTGGGTGGGTGAAGTCGGGGAATGAGGAATGGCGTAGATGTGAGGATGTTGCTGAGCATGAAGATGGGGATATTGGTATAGATTGGGTTGGACTGGATGATGAAGGTGAGGATGCTGGTTCATAACTTCGCGTAGGTATGGTGTTAGGGTTGGTTGCCCGCATTGGAACTCCTCTTCCGGGCTGGGCAGCCGGGTGGTGATCTGCTTATCCAGGGTTAGCAGCGTCCTTGTACGTATGATGGACGTATGGTTGAACGAACCACTGGTTCATGCAGAGTAAACGGCAACCCATTATGGAAACTGATAAACCGATCCAATGAGTACGCCATCCAGAAAGTCCTGCGCTGCTCCTCCAGCCCGATCCAGTCCACCAATATAGCTTCCTGTTCCCGTGCCATCGTCACCGGGTTGGTGGAATCATTCAGCTCATAGAGCCGCATCCCTAATACCAGTCGGCAGCATCTTCCTATGCTCATCCAGGCCTGGAGAGCCGACCGTTGCATGTACTCGTAGAGCCCAATTAGAATCCATGCCTGGGCCTGTTCCAGCCCTGCGACCATTGTTATACTATCCGGTCGATCTAAGGAATCGAGAATTCTTCGTGTTTCGGTGTACAGCTGATCGCGTAGAGCCTGAAACTGGGCAGAAAGAGAGGCTGCCACCGTCCACATAGCATATTGTAGACAGACCTGGCTATCGGACTTCTTAGGTTGGCGAGCCCAAACGTGATAGCGCCAGCGCTGGAGGATAGGCGCGAACGGATGCACCCGATCGAAATACAGTTGGTCACTGCCGATAGGTTAGAGGTGAACGGTCTTCCTAGGATCGAGAGCAACAGCATACAGTTCAGCTCGCATCAGTTCCGAGACCAGGCCTGTCGACCGTGGTAACGACTCTGGTGTTCTTGGTGATTGGATCTTGATGGATGAGATGGTGGGATGAGCATCTCTCTCGCGCGTCTCCAGCTCGTCCCCGGGGGCCAACACCGGGTCCGGGAGTGTTGACAGAGGTACGGAAACCGGGATCGAATCAGACAGTGAAGTGAGGTCCCGGAGGGGATCATCCTCCGAGTCACAGTCAAGTACCGTGCCGTCAAATAGACTCGCCATCTGGTGGTTGATTTCGGGATGCTGATCTGCGAGGCAGCGCTCTAGGGCAGCTGTTGTGCGTCAGTCGTCAATACACATCCACTGAGCATGAAAGGCGCGGTACCAATTCTTGTGCGCAGCGTACGCAACTGGCCCTTTCGAGGTCCCCGAGGCAATCTGGTGGTGTTGATCTTGCACTCAATCCCTGTCTCGAAACACACCTGACACTGAGGCCGGCGACGGTCACAGCGCACTTTTCGCCGTCGACACTCCTCACAGGCCGAGCCAGGGCGTTGTCTTGAGATTGTAGGCGTCGTCGTGACCATGTCGGGGCTGATGAAGTGTATACCCGCAGACCAGTTCCACTGTTGATTGCTCTGACAAAGTGAAAGCGACCTCCGCAGCGCTTGGTTTCCTGACTTATAGCCGAGCCCGGTCGACAGTGAGAAGCTGCGTCGATCCAGGCTTCTCTTTGCTCGAACAGATGACTAGTGGGTCGTGATAAGATACCAAAGCAATGGATCGACCGCATGCGCCAACACTAGTCGGACTAGACAAGACGAACCAGTGAGTAGAGGAGCCAGTCCGATACCGAGGAAGACGACCCCATCCGGGCGACTCATGCTTGCTTTTTGGGGTATTAAGCTCAACCACACAGTCAGCGCCGACGAGCCAGTCGGGAAGGGTGTGGCGGTCGATCCAATAGACCTAAATGGTGACTCGACGTGCGTCCTGAAAGAACACGTTCTGGCTAGTGCAATGTGATGACTGCCCTGCAGGATGCAGATCGCAGTCGGTAGCGCGTTCGCTGACTGGTTCTGTTGTTATTAGAACGAGGCCTTTCTGACCAGAAGGGCAAGACGAGAGAGCTAGAATAGCCCTGCACTCTGCAGGCTGCAGCGGATGCTGGAGACACATCAGGGGCGATGGTGGGGAGAGGTGTAGATGAGGGTTGGACAAGCCTTCGTTGAGCCACTATTACTCACCATCGGCGCTTGACAGCGATGGGAAAGGCATGAACTGCGATCATCTTGACCTCCACGATCTCTCAGGGTCCACTAAATGACCAGTGCCACTGCTGTTGATTTGATCAAGCTGATCACGTCGACGCCTCTCAGCCAGCCACCGAGTCACAGCATCCAATTGAGGACATCGGTGCGTCTTGAGGCGAATAAGCAAGTTTGAGGGACAGAATAAGCAAATGCGACCGATCGCAGATTTTGCAGCTAGCAGTCAAGCAGGATCAACCCTGCAGAAGGTCTGCAGGCTAGGATCTCACGGAGGCCTATTGTTTTGGTGGGTCTGGATGCCCCCCTGAAGGTACATGTACAGTAGAGTAGAGGAACAATGGGGGAGGGAGAGAGGTACATCTGCATCTCCGCATACACTGCAGTAGTGGCAGCGGCAGTAGCAAATGATAAGGAGGCAAGCAAACAGCCAACCTGCTAGAGACCTCTCACGGCAGATGTCAACTTGTCCTGCATCGCAGCTGTGAGGGACGGTTCAACATAGCATAGGTGGAAGTGTGACCTTCAATGACAACGAGGTGAATGCGCGAGATGGATTAGTGGATGGAAGGTCGGGCTGGCCTTAGATTCCACGCTCAGACAGTATGTAGCGCCCGTGCATGCGATCAGAGCCGAGATCTGGAAGGAAAAGAGGGGGGATCAAATGAGTCGCCAGGCATTAGCCTGAGTTTAGAGCAGGTGGGACTGCAATATGCACAGCCAGTCAAGGGACGGGGGTTGTTGGTTGTTGACAAACGACGAGGGGCAGAATTAGGGCAGGCAGGAGAGAGAGAGAGAAGGGGGCGAGGGGAAGGAATGGCCGATCACCATCATCCAAAAAAAAGGGAAACAAAAAAAAAAACAATAAATATTAAAAACCAGGTCCACACGCATCTTCCATCTAATAATCCCAGAGACAGCAGAAGTCAACAGAAGAGTGCAGAATCCGATTTATTGATCACAAGAAGCCACAGAAATCGCCCGAATCTCGTGTTTATCGGGCCGAGATCGATCGCGTGCAGTGAATGCAGTGAATGCAGTGAAGGGCCCTGCGATCGACAGCCGCTATTGAAATACCCCATTTCCGCCGGGCCGATCCTGGCGCCAATATTATGAGCAGCGTGAGTAATAATAACCGATGCTAAGATGTTATGATTAGGGGCTGGGGGTTCTGATGATGACACCAGATGAGAAGAGCACATGTAGTCAAGATACAAAGACTGCCCAGGGCCCAGTTCAAAATGTGGCACACTGCTGTGAGACCTGCCAGCAGTGGGTATTTTCTGTCTGTCTAAGAACGTACGCAGTGCAGTGCAGTGCAGTGCAGTACAGTACGGTACACATTATAGAAGTAGTTTCTCTCCCCATTAAATAGTCTTCCGTAGCCCTTGTAACCCCAGGGTAAACCACGCCAGACTCGTTCCTCATCGCAACCATCACAACCGCCACGCCACCACCCCACCACCATGGACTATGACCACACCCAAGACATCCTGGGCCAGTTGCCCTTACTGAAGTCTTACTCCCACATGCTCCTCATCTTCCCACTCGCGGACGATATTGCACGCCGGGAGATCGCAACAGCCCTGGAGTCGGCCATCCACCAACTCATCGCCGGCTTCCCCTTCCTCGGCGGCAAAGTCGTTCGCGAGGGCCAAACCCCATCCTGCTCGGGCGTCTTCGTCGTGCGTCCGCACCTCGCATGGCAAGATCCCAACCATAAATTCCTGCGGGTGGAGGATCGCACGAACGAGGTCGCATCGCTTGCCGAGTTGCGTGCGACGGGGTGGCCGACCACCTCGCTGCCGAGCCTGCTGGCCCCTCCTCGCCCGGCCTTTCCGCAGCCCTATCCCGACGACGACGCCGAGGAAAACCCAGCGCCCGTGCTGGACTTCCAGCTCAACTGGATCCAAGGGGGCCTGATTCTGGCCATCGCGGCCCAGCACAACATCGTTGACGGCAACGGGATGTTCCAGATCATCAATCTGCTCGCATACAGTCTCCGCGACGAACCGTTCCCCGAGCACGCCATCTGCGAGGGCAACATCGACCGACGCACCCTCATCCCATTAATCAAAGACGACGAGCCCATGGACGATCACAGTGAGCTAAAGCCGGCGATTGTCCCCGGACTATCGTCGGGCCCAGTCACACCGGAGATGCAAGCCTATATGGCAACCTTCAAATGGCGGGCGGTGCGTTTCAGCGAGACGTCCATGGCCAAAATCTACCAGAAGGCTGCGCCACCCGCACCAGTCGAGTCAACATCTACCGACCAAGAGCAAGAGAAGATCACCCCCAACGATGCGCTGACCGCATTCCTGTGGCAAAGACTGATCACTCTGCGTCTCCCACACCTGCCGCCCTTCCTGCAATCGTCTACCTCCAAGATCACTCGCGCTCTCGACCTCCGGCGCACCATCAACCTCTCGCCCTACTACATGGGCCACATGGTGCGCACGGCCAACCTGCGCCTGCCCCTCACGGAGGTCGCCTCGCTGCCGCTGTATGATCTGGCGGTCAAGCTACGGAAACACGTCAAGTCACTGCACAACGTGCACGCCACGCGCAGCTACGCGACATTCCTGGCCAACGAGGAGGATAAGACCAAGGTCGCGTACGGGGGCGCATTCAACCCGCTGACGGACTTCTCATGCTCGAGCATGGCCCACGTCTCGGTGCCGGTGTTTGGGCCGCTGGGGAAGCCGCATGCAATCCGGCGGCCCTCGTTTGAGATCCCTTTGCCGTGTGCGTGCTATGTCGCGCCGGTGATTGATGAAGGGGATGAGGAGGGGGGGTGGGAGGCGTTGCTGTGTCTGAGCGAGCGGGATTGGGAATTGCTCCGGGCAGATGAGGGGTCGAGCGAGGTGGTGCGTTATATTGGTTGATTCATGATGATCGTGAGGATCAACCAGGTTGCGCATAGTCGGCGCAACAATTATGGTATAGGAGCGATGAAGCGACGAGTCGATGTTAAGTAGTTCAAGTAATCCAGAATGATATCAGTTTCGGCTGCTCTATAGTTGCACCTCGGTAATATTGTTGAGCATATTCAAGCACCAGTACTTGCCTCAGTGTCATACGATGGGAAGCAATCACAAATCAAACCGGCATGGTGATTTGCTACGAAGAGAGGCTGCATCGACTATATTCGCTCTTCCTACTATATCGAGACTCTATCTCCAATCTTACACTTAGCTATATACTTGTCATTCCATTGTCATCCCCTTGTCATTCTAAGTCCAGTATCTCATATACACCTTCGAAGACAATGGCTGAATCCCCCCAAAGCCTATTTGCACGTCTCCCTCAGGATATACAACCTCTACAGTTCCCTCCTGTCCTCAAAATAGCAATCCCAACCCTAAAAATCGCCACTCCACAACTCCCTATCTCCCCTCAACCGCCCACAAAGCTGACTCTAAGCCCTTTAGCCCGTAGCCCTCATAAGATCTGACTACAACGACGTCCATCCCTAGTTTCAAACCCACCCAACTTCAGATCCATCCCATCCCATCCCAATCCCACCCAGCCTCACCTCCACCCCCATAATTTAAAAACCAAAACTCTCCGCGAACCGCCAGCCATCACCCAGTCCGGACCCCGGCCTAAGATCCGCCGCAAATCATCGGAGATTTTCCCACGATCTAAGTCCAATTTCCAACTTGCTACCTAATCTGCCAGAGCCCCCCAGCCCCATCCGAAAGAAAAGACCCCTTGAGCAACCCAACCGAACGCATCTCATCAGTCAGAATAGCCGCTCCACCAGCCCGTCCGGCAACCGACATTTAGCAACAAAACGCCTTGCCCCCCCCTGCTTGTGTAGCATTCCCCTACCCTCCGATTCGTTGGACTGGACCCTTGCTTCCATCCGATACACAACACTAACGCCCCAAGTAGGAATAGTAAACCAAACGGCTGCCGAAACCTACTCCCTGAGGATAACCTGTGGAAATTCTGATCTCACCTCCGTTTCGTACTACAGCGAATGCGGTGACACAAAGCCCTCCTGCCGCCCCGGCGATATAACATTTTCTTTCTCCTGCTTGGGGCCTGGGTACACGGTACGGAGATGTTGTGCAACGGGAGTGTTTAACCTCTCTGCTTGCCTTTCTTTGTTTTTCATGCTTTGTTTTATTCTGGCTTTCCTCTGCTTCGATTCAATTCTTCCCGTTTCGACTGGCAAGCAAGATGGGATGCTTTCTCGGTCGAGAGAGCGAGTAATGCAGAGACAGGACAGCTTACAGCTTACAGCTTCCAACCCCATCCTCCAAAATCCAACCGCAACCAGCGCGGGCTGAGAAGGGCAGGGCAAGGAATCGGAGGGATATTTGAGCTCTTCGGCAGTTATCCGGCCCTCAACCTTCTGTACCACCCAACATCATAGCCCAAGCTCCCTTCCCTCAAGAAGATTCGTGGGAAGAGAGGGAGGTGACGCGCGCGGAGAAGCCAAACTGCGCGGATCCGTTCACGCCTCCAAGCCGGAATGTCGCCCTGCGGGTTTGTCCGCAGGGCTTATTGCATCTGACTGCATGGAAGAGTTGCGGTTGCGCTGGCATGTAGTACAGCCAGTTCACAGGCAGGAGAAGCAAAACATCTGCTGTTGTATGGAGGGAGGGAAAGGGTAGACGGGCGACTCCCGCTGGTCCTTTGTTGACACTCCTCGAGACTGGTGACAGAGCACGACTAGCCCTGCCTTGGGCATTCCGCAGCCTGAAGGGAAGCGAAGCAAAGCGAAGCTAGTAAGGTAGTTGGTTAGGTTTTGCTGAAGGTGCATAGACTCCGTTGGCTGCCTTGCTTATGGGTTCTGAGTAAGTGAGGGAGTGTGAGTCAGTCTTGGAAGTATGTACTCTATGCCTGGTGTAGACCCTCCCAGGTACTCCCTTTAGCACTCCTGGTAACATATCATATTGTAGTTTGAGATTGTATACCCGCTCTCCCACACGCAAAGAACAGGCCATTGTTGCCAAATACACGTACACGTACAATCCACGACCTCAGCCAGCATGACCATCGAAATCGCCATCATCGGCAGCGGCCTCATCGGCACGCTGCTCGCGCTGGGCCTCCTCAACCGCAACTCCCCGCACCTCCGCATCCAGGTCTACGAGCAGGCCGCGTGTCATCGCGAGCTGGGGGCGGGGATCGGCTTCACGCGGGCGGCGCGCCACTGTATGATGCGGCTGGACCCGCGGCTGGACGAGTGTCTGCGCGCGGTGGCGACCGAGAACGGCGAGCCGGACGACCCGGACTACAACATGCGGTTCGTGGACGGCTACCACACGTACGTGGACGATGACAGTCCTCAGCCCGTGGGGATCGAGGGGAAAGTCTACAAGCTGTATGCGGGGCCGCGGGGGTTCGAGGGGTGCCACCGGGCGCACTTCCTGGAGGAGATCATGAAGCTGATGCCCGAGGGGGTGGTGCAGTTTGGCAAACGTTTGGAGCGGTACGAGTATCTGGAGTCGAGGAGGATCCAGCTGGTGTTTGGGGATGGGAGTGTGAGAGAGGTGGATGGAGGTGAGTTGCATCATCCCAGATCAATCCCCTTGATGCACCCCGAAAGCCCTAACTTCACCACCCACCCACTCACTCGCATCCACAAGGGCTAACAGCACACCACAGTCATCGGCTGCGACGGCATCAAATCGCGCGTGCGCGACCTCATGTTCCCCAACGCCGACCACCGGCCCCGCTACGCGCACCAGCTCGCCTACCGCGGGCTCATCCCGATGGACCAGGCGATCGCGCATCTGGGCCGCCACCGCGCCCTCCTCCAGCACATGCACTGCGGGCCTCACGCCCACGTCCTGCACTTCCCCGTCGCCAACCAGAAGCTCCTGAATGTGGTCGCGTTTGTCCCGGACCCCAAGGACTGGGACGTGTCGAGCTTCACGGGAGCTGCCACCACCACTGCCACTGCCACTGCCACTGCCACTGCCACGCCCCCAGCATCAGAGGACACCACCAACACCACCATCACCACCACCACCACTAGCAGCAGAACCCCCAGCCCCAGCCCCAGCCCCAGCCCCAGCCCCAGTCCCAGCACCCCAACCAACACTCCCACAACCAATGTCCATCCAGCAGAATCCAAAAGCCCAACTCACTCTCACGCCGACCCAGACCTTAATCTCCACGCCAGCACAACAGCAAGCACAACCCCCAGCACCACGACAATCAACACCCCGCAAACCAGCCGCACCACCACTCCCGACGGCACCAGACCAGCCCCAACCACCACAGCCACCACAACCACCACGAACCCATCAAGTCAACAAGAAGAAAGCCCCCCAACCCCATCCCCAAAGCCCACCCAAACAACCCCAAAAGCCCACCTTCTAACAACCTTCAACCACTGGATCCCCTTCCTCCGCACCCTCCTCACCCTCCTCCCGGACCACCTAACCCAATGGCCGATCTTCGACCTCTACGACCGACCCCCGCCCACCTACGCAATCGCCCGAGTCTGTCTCGTCGGCGACGCAGCGCACGCCGCATCCCCGCACCACGGGGCCGGGGCAGGCGTGGGGGTGGAAGACGCCCTCGCCCTCGTCACGGCGCTGGGGTGCGCGGAGGCGGATATCCTTTCGGGGAAACTGACGACCCCGCAGGCGCTGGAGGTGGCGTTCAAGGCGTACTCGGATGTGCGGTATAAGCGGTCACAGTGGGTGATGCGGAGTAGTCGCGAGGTGTGTCGGGCGTATGAGTGGGAGTTGTTTTCCGGAGAGGCCGGCGGGGAAGTGGCGGAGACGGGGATGATGGGCCGCGTGTTTGAGGAGATTCGCCGGCGGACGATGACGGTGTGGGGGTTGGATGTGGAGGGGATGGTCGGGGAGGTGCAGGGCCAGTATTGGCGGGGAACATGGGGATATTCTTGTTTTTGAGTTCATGGGTGGTCAACAGGGACAAAAGGGGTGGGAAAGTGAGAAGGGAGGAAGAGGATGTAGCTCTGTTTATGTCAAGTACTGTGGGCATTTCCCTGGCATGATTGAAGAATGTGCGGTCACTAAATATTATCGTTACGTCAATTCATATTAAACTCATCCGCTAAGTTCCAACAGAACACAAACGATATGTGAAAAATCAATCTATTCCGGGCGTCTAATCTATGCCGTAACCCCCAGTATCTCCCCCAAGATCGGACTCTGCGTCAACGCATATGCCTCCCGAACATACTCCTCATTCACCGAGAACGGCTTCGCCATGACATTAGGGATGTACCGCCCCTCCAACTCGGCCATGTTCACGTTGCCCTCCAGGAACCCGGGCTTGAGCAGACACTGTCGGAACCGATCCACCGTCGATTTCAGATGACTCGAATGGAAGGGAACATCGATCCCCTGGAGGGGAATACTCGCGGTACCTCGTTGTAGCTGGATTGGCTTGCGAAGACCCTGTGCCGCACCCAGTAGGTTTTTGATGGTTGCATCGATGGCCCTCATCTCCGTCTGATCGTTCATCATCTCCCGTATTTGATGAGGTCCGTTGGGCGACAGTGACAGTCCATCAAGAACTTTCCCAAGCACCCACAGGTTTGTGTCCTATTCCAGTCAGTGGTGGTCCAGGATCCTGAGAAAGATCAAACAATAGAAGATCAACAACAGGGAACTTACAGTGCCTGAACACACGTATTGCTCACCCTTAACGTTGTGGTTGACAATTTCCAGTAGCTCGTGGCTCACCGCAGCAATCATCTCAACCAGCCGTCCCAAAGCCGTAGCATCGAAAACTACCCACAATTAGCGGATGTTTTAACATTGTGAATCACATGAAACTCACACTTTCCTACCCGCTTAGGATTCACTGCCGTCATCCCGTACGCCGCTCCCTGTTCCCCCCGCGCCACAGACGCCTGCATCATCAGGCCCCGGTAGAATGACAGCTCAGCCAGCGCACCCATCGGAATCGACTGCGACAGAGCTGACAATGCGCCATATTCGCCCAGCGAATGGCCGGCATACAATGCATCGGGTGAGACATAGCCCTTGCTGCGCAAGTCAGCAATCACCGCTACCTCAAATAGCAGAATCGCCGGCTGGGCGAACTGAGTCGAGTAAAGTAATCCTTTCGGGTCGGTGAAGGTATAAGACGTGGATCGAGAGGTGAGACCCGGAAGGGCAGGTGTTTCGATGCGTGTGTTGTCCGGGAGCACTGTCTCGGTTGTGATCGATAGGTAATTCTGTCTGATCTTCCGGCCTCGTTTGCCACCGAAATGAACAGTTATTGACTTGGGATTGTTGCGCACAATATCCAGCACGGACCAGCCTGTTATCGTTAGAAAATACCCATTGGTGAAGAGTGGTGGGAAGCCTTACCGTATGAGTCGTAGAGCTGCACATCGATCTCATCCCACAAGGCTTTCGCCACTAGACTTGACTCGTAGAGGTCCATCCCCATGCCCTTGCTCTGACTACCCTGACCCGTGAACAGATACGCCGTGGCCGGCTGATCCACAACAGCGCCACCGTCCAGAACCTTTTCTCCACTGTCCTTGCGAGTGACCTCGATCGCAAAGCGCATCCGTCCCTCAACCATCGCGGTATGCCGAATTTGGACGACCAGCTTCTCCATAGGCATGACCATGCCAGTAAAGCTTGCCGTGAACGACCGAAGCCGGCATCTATCTCCGTGGAGAGCAAGATGCTCGAAGGCTGCCACCGTGACCGCGGAGGTAGACATACCATGCGACAGAGTGCCGGGAAGGTCGGCCACTGAAGCAAATAGGCTTGACACGTGGATTGGATTAAAGTCCTTGGACACGTTGGCGTATGGCTGGTTGCTCGGCGGCATCTGCACCTCCATGGACGACAAGCCTGTCCATCCCGAAGTCTTTAGCTCTACCTCCGGAGAAGCCAGACTACCTTTGCGGTCCAGGAACTCAAGCACCGGGTTGCCGACACAGTCATCGCAGCTGTAATTCACCGTCCCTACCTCCTTCCACAAGTACCCTCCGAGCTGCGCTCTGGCAGTTCCAGTCACTCGTAGTCCCTTCAGGCCACCCTCCTTGGGTATAGTATGGGTTTCCAGCGTGAACAGAAGAGTCTTCCCAACCAGGGAAATCGTCTCATCATCGACGTAGAACCATTCCCGCCGTCGAAGAACAGTCTCATCAAGCTCAGATCCAAGATGAAGCTTGCGTTCCGGCTCTCTGACGCGTCTGAAGAGTTCCCTCTCCCTATCGAAGTTCCCTCGAAATATGAAAGTCGATGTCACCATGAGAACCGCTTTACCCGAGCGCTTAATCTGGGCTTCCACAACGACAACCATACCAGCCTCTTCAACAAAGATAGCTCGAACTTGTGACTGTGAACGGACAACATCGCCAACACGTAGCATTGCCGCATCAGGGCAGTATTCGAATGTGTTTGACCGGTGAACCAGCCGAAGCAGGTCAGCGCCAACGTCCTGGAGCACCAAAGGCTTTGTCAAAACATCCCAAGCTATGACAATTCCGATGCTGATTGGCAGGACGTCTGAATCGAGGAAGACAAGTCTTGGATCTGGAAAGGCCTGGCCAACAGCCGCAATCATATCCTGAAGCACTTGCTCGGTGAGCGTCATTTCCTTGCCGTAGAATGTATCATGGATACTACCACCTGTCGACACATCTTCCCCGAACCATAATCGGCTGTAGAATGATTTGACTCGTGAGTTCCTTTCATTCATTATTTCACTGAGACTGAAGGGGATGCTGCTAGGATCAAAACGGTAAAATAGCCTCAGTGGTTCAAGCACCTGAGGAGGATAAAGTTCGAGAACAATATTTACGCCGTTCGGGCTCGAAAGCTTCATGGAGGAGGTTACCCGGCATGCATCCTGGACACAGACCGATATTTCTCCTCGGTCTGGATCATAATGGAAGATTGCATCGGTGTTTGCTGCGATAAAATGCTGAAATGGGTTCCGCTGTCGTCGTCGGTTCTGTAGCAGCATGGGATCCCCAAATACTGCGCGTATCCATGGAGGCAAACTCCGAGACAAGCTTAGCCCGGCGGCCGAAACATGCACAGACCGGTCATCAAGAGCGTCAGAGGTCAAAATAGACGTTGGAATTGACATATCATCAACCGCTATCTCTCTTAATCCGGAAATCGATGACCAACTGTCAGGAGTGGCTAGTCCACTAGCGGAGCTGGATGTTGAGTCTTCTAAGCAATTGTCGCGTTGGAAGCGCTCAATGAGTCCACCAAGAATGCCGTCCAGTATCTCCTGAGCAGATTCATCCCGGTCGACCGAGTATTGTGCAGCCACAGGTCCGTGCAATATACAAACGCGCTCGGGATCTTGGTCAGGCACGGCTTCGATATCTTCCGCCTGCCAAAGGGAGTCCTTCTTGAAGTACCACTCAAAGTATTCATTGAGAGCCGGTATGAAGTTAACCGGCTTCTGATTGGGCTTTCGGCTCTCTAGAAGAAAGAATGAGACATCTTCTGGATTGAGGACTTCGTCTCTAGCTGCAGGACATACGTCAAGTATTGAGCGAAGGAATAGTTCCGGATTCTCTGAGAGTACCGCGTGTGATATGTCCGCGCGGTGATCGAGCGAAGCACATGGCAAGCGCTCCAGGGTCCGAGTCGCAATGTGGAAGGTAAAGCGCGCGTAAGAAGGGTCTATCCATCGTTTTTGATGACGGACGTACATCAGATCAACCATACGATGGAGTACTTCAGCGTAGGTCATGTCTTCCAACTCCACCACAACACCGCGAGCATCTCGGCCAAACCAGGGTTTTGCAAAGTCTGCATTCAGTCGTTGAATAATAGAATCTCGGTTCTTGGTCAAGTACGCGACTCGATCCTTTCTGGGTAGCTTGAACACTGTTCGATCCATATCCGCCCACAGTTGTACTCCTCGAGTGGCAATCTTGTGGATAGGTTCACCCATCTCCGACTGGACGGTGAGAATCCCTCCTGCTGGACCTGAGTATGTCTTCATCCATTCGCTCTCTGGAACACCTGGGGTGTTTGTGATGACTTGCTTGACGGCAGGAGACGTGTGTGCTTCTCGGGCCACCATCAAACGACTACCCAGCAGAACGCCATCAAACGGCATACAAGGGTAGCCATGCGAGACAGACCACTGCCCCGAGAGATATGGGTAGATGCTCTCGCTGTTCCCGAAACCGCTACCGGCGACTAAATAGATGTTGGATTGCTGTCGAATGGTGCCATATGTGCTCAAGATAGGAGCGTGGAAGTCCTCATAAGAATGATGCCCTCCCCCTCGACCACCCGTCCACTGTAGAACGATAGGAAAATCAGGATGTGTCTTTGCAATATCCACGACTTGTCGTATTGTAGACACTGAGCTTGGTTTGAAACTGATATGGCGCAGGCCAAGTGTGCGGATATACTCAGAAACTATCTCTGCTGAAGGTACCCCTGCACCAATCGTGAGTCCATCAATAGGTATTCGATCGTGCGACAGGCGGCGTAGCATGGCTATCTGCCAGCCCATTGCTCGAGGGTTTGCATAAATGAGGTTACAGGTGACTCCACGACCGGGGCGAATATTGCCAATCAGCTCTTTAATTACCGTTGTCATATCCGAGCTACTTCGATAGCCTCCGCCAGCCAATTCAGCGTGATATCCAGCATTCATGATGGAGGCAACGAAGTCCCAATGCACCGTTGTTGGGGTCATACCAGCAACCATAATGGGCGGCGAACCCAGCAAGCGGCTCAGGCGTGTCTCAAGAGAGACTGTGCCTCCATTCACCAGCCGCGGTTGATACCGCTGGCTCCAGCTCTGAATTCTCGTTGATGTCTCTAGGAGACGTGGCGAAAAGAGATCACGCATGGTTCCGATCTCGGGGTCGCGAGATTCAAGATCGCTAGCCTGTATTATCCTGATTCCCCTTCCTTCCTGGATCTTCTTCACCAAT